TCACAATTAACATAACAATGGTTCTAGGTTCGATGCCTGCTATCTCTATCTGATGAGATGAAATAACATAGAAGCGGGACAGAAGTGTAGCGTTTTCGGGCGGGCAACACCTACGATTGAGAATGTCATATGTCTTTTGATTGCGTTGCACTGTTTTCACCTTTTCGGAATCAGTTATCTGACTTATTCAAAACACCCTCTCTGGGGAAGGTACAAAATGGTAGGGGATATGGCTGATAGATATAGATTCGGACTGTTAGTATACTTTGGTTTATAAAGAGTTAAAACGGGACAGAAGCAGGTGCATTCGAAAACGTCATTATGTAAAACAAGGTACATTTGTTCCACTTATGAAGGATGTAAAGAACGCACTTAAAAAGTATGCCGCATAATAAGTAAAGGCACAAACGATCGGTTTCGCACTTCACCAGCCGAAAAGAAACGAATAATACGTAATCATGCGATGGAGCAGATTATTGAAACACACATCGGTTTCCTGTTATAACCTAACCAATGAAAGAAACTGTGCGTTGCCTACAGATAATGACTTCTTCATATGAATTAGGGAAGAAATAAGTAAGTGAATAACTATGAGTTTAACATGCCTATAAAAATCGCGAATGTTCTCTCGTGTGACACGGTCGTCCCGCTCAATGATCTCCTCGTTGTGATTCCCGCTACATATTACCCGACCTTTTCCTTTGTACTAAACCAAACTCTATGTGTTCTGGATCTCAATGAAATTCTTTCAACCGATGTCAACTGAATGTTTTGTTCAATTACCATTGAACAATTAGCCTCATCGCATTCCATCGCTCAAACGTTAATCCAGCTTAAATTAAGTAACAAATTCATTAGCGAAGAGTAATAGGAAGAGTGGAATTGTATAGGTGGAAATTCGTCACATCTAGACTCACTCAGACAACCGTCACACGCCCGGAAATACACTGTACGAGCGTTCCATCCTTTCGGGAATCGTCAGCAGTGCGTATTCCATCGGACCATGCTAGGGCTAGAACACGCTACTCGACTGTGGTCATTCCGTGGTTGAGACCACTGAACGAAGGGGACGAAAACGACCATCGTAAATAATTTACTAGAAGTGATATAGCGCCGCTCACTATCCACTGACTTTCACGTTACTGCCGAGCAGAGGATAGGGTAGCCCCCTCACCAAACGACAAGCTTACTAAAATTAAGCAGCCAATTAACTTATAGCATTATAAGTCTAGATGTGACGAATTTCTGCCAATGGAATTCTACTCCCCCTGGTACTCTTCTCTTACCAGTACGCAGACCAAACTGCTTATAATCCCATAAGTTAATTGGCGGCTTAAATCACCGCTGATTGGAGCAGTCTAAAGAGGCAACGAAGAAGGGGATCAAATCGTGGGGGTTTTATGGAGAGCTTTCGGGTAATTCAAACCCTACTTTCCGCAGAATACTTCCCGCTTACATGCGTCCTCATGTTTAATATGTAATTCAAGCATGCATCCATGGCTAAAGCGAGATCTCACGACCTTGCAGATTCCGCAACATCTGGCGACCAAAAATGTCAAGAGGCAGCTCCACTTGTCATACAAACAGTGCCTCAGAGTGCTTGGCATTTTCAGCGGACGTTTTCGACGTTTGCACGGTGTCTTAATTATGGTTTACCAAATTGTAAACAACACTTATCACCCGCACCATCAATTATTGAAGCTGAGTCACAACAGTAAACTGAGAGATCATCATATCAAATTGACAGAACAATACAGTCAGCTGGCTAGCCAGACAACCTCCCCTTGATGCCAGCTGGGTGGTTCGGGTTTAAATCGTTCCGGCAAATAGTTCGGCGGCAGTGTTCCAGAATGTGGTGGGTTTTCGCCTGACAAGCGCTCTTCCTATAAAAATACACTAACATCCGTTTAACAACAATGCGAGGCGGCGCATGTGACTTGCCACTAACTAAAGTCACTGTTCAGGCTTTCGCTGACAAGCTTATTAAATCCACAGACGTAAAACATTTCTTCAGACACCGGTGACGCGATCGAACTCCTTAAAAATGCTGTAACACATTTACAGACACAAGCAAAACACCTACGTATATACCTACATCTGTGGATCCTTGCATGTGAAAATATTATTATATTATTGCATATTTCTTGACCAAGTTTTGTACTATTACTATAAGCATGCTTTTACTGATGTGCCTCGCGCAGCCGAAAACAAAAATTTATTTATTTATTTATCGCATTGCCTGTTTGCCACACGTAGAATACCCTCACAAAAGCTGTCATTTCAGCCGTTACGTTAGCCGTTTTCAAGGTACAAGTCCACGGTGCAGTGGCCGCACTGTACCATCCCAAGTAACCCAAACGACCAATACAAACAGCAGAAAAACAAAAAATAAGCCAACCTTCATTGTTGCCCGGAAACCACAAACGTTAATCTTGGATAGTAAATAAAATCAAGTGTGAACTGCTCCGACTGGAACACTGGAACCGGTAACCTCGCAACTTGCGGTTGTCCACTATTTCCTATTGCTAATTTTGCCTTCATTTTTGCTACCCCTAACCGAGCATCCGGCGGGCCATGTAAAGCTTTGACTTTTATTCTCCACAATCAAGTATTGACCATTGATCAATGTTGCTACACTGGCGCGCCATGAGCTCAGGTCATGTTAACTCACAGTTTTAATAACCTCATAATATTGCAGTGTTGATGTGGTGGTGTAGTTTTCCAAATAGCACGCCAGCGTATCGGCATTTATGGATTCCATGAAGTTGGACTACATTGGGAGAAGTGAAACTGGATGGTAGTTTGACAGTTCCGTCCTGCTTTCGTCGTTGGGAATCGGATGTATTATTCCTAGTTTTCAGATGGCAGGAACTTGCTTCTTGTTTAAGCAGTAATAGAAACAATATGCCGAAGAACACGCTAGTTGTTATACTGCTGCTGCTACTGCCCGTGTTTCTAGGCGAACGCTATTGACAGCCGGGGAGCTGTAATTGTGCAGAAGCATTGGCCTTTAAAACACAGCTTCCCCGATAGAAGAGCTTTAGGTGACTTCCTGGTCAATAGGCCAATGGGGTATAAGTACCTGTCAGGCATACTTTGGGGATAATAATCGTGGACTCCCGTGAAACATATCAATACCTTAGCCAGAGTGAAGTATAAATTGTTTACAAAGTTGTGATGTATACATGCCAGTGACTTTGATAAAAAAAAAGGCGCAAGTATATCATATGGAATGTGAGAGATAAAATTTCTGAGATGATACAAGCATGAAATAATAACAGATGGTGGTTCAGAAATTGCAGGTACGAGACAATAAAGAGATTTACAAGGAACTTCCAATTTAAAATAGAAGCTTTAGGGGGCCGATTTATTTATGCTGCCTAGACCCCCTCTTATTGAAGAAACGAGAAATAGTGCCACGGCCTAGCGAGGATATTTATTTGAGGACCGTAGCCACACTTACGAAGAAAACACTAGCACTATCTATCGGCAAGGTACGATCTAAGGTAGTAACATCACTAAAGTAACCTTAAGAGAGAACGCAACCTTAAAGTTGTTTAATGGATCACAGTCCCAAAACACTTCTTGGTGATTCCGTCGAATTAAGTCAAACTATTTAGTTTGCCTACATAGAATAGTTAATTATGTCAGTAGGCCAGGCCTGTTTAATGTGAATTCATGTTTAGACACCGGACAATGAAAAATTATTTGTACAGATACAAATCTGAATTTTCCAGCAGGCATGACTCGGTATCCTGACTGCAAGTTGATACAAAGTCATACCCATACTGAGTACAACATGTCGCGGTGCCGCATTGATGAACAGCTCAATCATGACCCCATCAACGTTACCCTTGTATGGTAGAGGAGACCAGATTGATACACCTGATTTTCTTACTTATGAAAGGCAGAGAGGACATAGTAATTTGATACAGGACGTAGAAATCTAAATAAAACCCATATGTTGAATTAAGCATTGCCCATCCTAAAACACCCAATTCCCATATACTTCGGCTAACGTGCTAGTGATTAAATTGGCCAAGGTTCGCTTCAAAGTAAATTATGATTCACATTGAGATTGTGTCACAATCCAATCAAAGGAGTAGCTCTTAATTACTCTTCAGTCAGCACCTATAAATTGTTAACCTCCTTTTATGATCAATAATCCATTGTCTAAATTTTTATGAGGCAGTTTTCTGCATTGCTCTCTGCTGTTCTGAAGCACGGTAATTTCTAGGTGGATTTCTTAATCCTGTAAGTATTGTTGCAAAAGCGTTTGACCCACCGCCTTCCCGAGAGGGCATTGAGTTGATTGATGATAGTACCAGGACAACAGTCATAAGGTGTCTTTGGTGGCAATAAAGTCTGTGTGTTTCCCATCACAACGACAATGATGGTAGTGCCCACGATATATAAAACCGTGGTGACATAATGATACACTTCTGGTTGTTCTTAAGTCGAAGTGTTGTAGCTGAATTGGAGGAAGGCGGTTAAATTTCATGACATCTGCGAATAGCGATGAAACACACAGGAAAGAGCCACAGTGCCGATGGAGTGAAAAACAACGAATAAGCGAAACCATGACGAGACTCCGCTTCCAAGTTCACTTCAAAACAGACCTGAGTTGCAATCCAGGTACTTTGACCCAGCCAGAAGTAGGCAACTTCTTTACCTGAATGATTTGACTCTTAATCTTACCGACAATTACGCTGGCGGATAAGGCCCCGTGTCAACAAAGTAGTCATGAATAAACTCTATACCAGAGAAGGTAACTTACAGACCTCTGTCTCGATCTCGAACATTAGGCATAAAGTAATAAAGCCCATGACGCATATTACAGTCTTGAGGGATCTTTAAAGAGCAATAAAACCATTTTCGCCTTTATCATCAAACTGAAGTCAAACCGAGCATGTAAACAGTGAATCTATGTTGTGGTTTCAATATCCTTCGTGTCATTCAGTTTTCATCGAAAGTATGCATGAAAATCAGTACGCACTCACTTTACCCAAAGCGACAGCACTAGTTGCCATGTCCAAAACAAATTCGTCGCCAGGGGTATCAGATGGTGCAGCCACAGTAATTGGATTAGTGCCTACGGCACGCTAGAAAACAGAGCAGACATAAAGACAACATGAGGTAAATAGCACGTTAGAAACGGTGGAGATTGGGCGCAGGTTAGTTTTGCGGAAGTAACTTCATCAAGCTAGGTAAAATACAGTTGTGATAAGTCATAAGAACACTGCATTTGTTAGAATGCCCAAAGACCACTTAGTCCATCCAGTATCATTAAATAACGCGTGTTCATTTTCTGCGGTGTGGAATAAATAACAAATGCCATTATATTAAAAGATATCAGACCAATGTACCTGGTAGAACTAGTAATTGTTTACCACCATACTCAATCCTAACGCACCGAGAATACCGTTTGTAGTGACAGAAACAAATCCATTGAATAGGAAACTAAGTATAGAATTGTAGACTGGTAGCCCAGGTTGTTCCGATGGAGGTTGAACTGTTCGCTGAGCTTGACAATTTTGTTGTAAAAGTTTCGTCACCGATCGAGGTGACATCATCAGTGTGTAGTTGAGTGACGTGCAGTAGCGCAGTGTAGTGTATAGGAGTCTCGTTGAGTGTGCGATGAGCGTGATGTGCGTGCGTCAACATTACAATCAAACCCGGGGGACTATCATCGTTAGAAATGATTGGTCAGCGGGTTTGTTGACAATCGGTCAGACGAGCATCTCCAGGTCATTAGTAGCCCAGCTGGTGTAGCTTTGTTAATTACTCAACTAATAATTAGAAACACACAATAATCGCCTCCCATAAACCGCACTTAAACCTACACATCCAAAACAACGATTAATCAGTGTCCATTGATGGTGGATTTTATTCAGGCTTAGTTTGCAGAATATTTCTATGGAACAGACTTTGGCGCTATCTTAGATTCCCATCTCAAGTAGCCGCTTGTTACGTAAACTGATGTTGTCTTTCGTCCTGCTCCGATAATTCTCCAAAATCTTTGTCAATTCTAAATGAGTGTTTATAACACCCAAACAAACGTAAAGAACTTTCTAGGACTAAATAACTTCAATTGGATCGATACCAAATGACAGTAACTCCGGTAATTCGTTTATTATCGAAGAGAACCACAATCCGTGTTTCCACAACAAGAAACGTTTATTATTTTTGAGCAATAAAATAATGAGTATTCAACCGCTTGCGAAAAAAAGGTGGTCATAATTCAAGAACACTGTACGAACAAAATAAAATGGACACTCAAAGTTAATATAAACTCTTCTAGAAAACCAGAAGGTTTCCGCTAAACAGTTTATGCCATAAGTTAGCCCCACTATCGGATAAACTAATGACTAACTTGTTAAGTACTTATAATAAATTAGACATTCAGTAATACATTGATATACGCTTGTAATGTCGTAAAAGTCTATGAATGTCAGTTGAAAATGTTTCATCCAAGAAGTGTAAATTACATACACAGAGGAACACTAAATAGTGATGGAAATATTCGGGTTTCATGGCCAAGATTAAAGTAAAAGTTTTACATACTTTAAAATCAAATCCTTTATATCTTTGTATGTCTGCGCTGCTTTCTTTGCTTCATAACTCGAGCGAAGTATAAGTATCGCCTTTCCTTTTACTGTAAACAATTCTTAATCCCGAAAAATAACGTGAGTCATCACTGGGTCTATTATACCAAACAATATACAGTATCAGACTGTCACATTTCTAGTTATTACTGTTGAATATTGTGGATATCTACCTTACTGGATTGAAATTCACTACATATAAGCATCTCGCTTGCGGCATGGAGACAAGATGGGTAAGCCTAATAACCAAGATGAGAGGTAGCACATTAGAAATCACGGGTATTGTTAAGGCACAGACAGGTTAAAAACCAATCAAACTGCTACACAAATTCCCATATTTGGCAGATAAAATGCGGCGTGCACTATTAATGTTGAAAGTCCTGGGTATCTTTCTTCACGTCGGCAACATAAGACTTTTAGTTGGACGCAACACCGCGGGCTTTAATCTATAGTAATTGATTTTAATAACATTTGACATTTCCTAGTTTTACTTTTCTTACATCGTTTGCAAACACAGGCAATCTGAAAAAATGTAGAGCTTCTGCCCTCTAAGAATCTAAATTTTCTGACAAACCTGTATTTATGTAAGAAACTAACAGACTTTTTGAAACAGCCAACTTGAATTGTGTGCTTTTCCAGGTTAGTGGAAACTTTATTGTTTGGTACATTGCAAGTAATTGTGGGCCAGTAAACTAAGTGGATGTGTAGACAATGTAACGCTCCTCACAACCTGAAAGGGTTGAACCCTATTATCTGCAAACCGGGGGATTAGTAGAATAGATGTAAGCCAAATTTGTTTGGACAAGACCACCGGATTTTGCATTAATTGTAGATAAAAAGCACTTGGGCAGGACTTATGCAGTTTACTCTAACATGCTTGACCCAGAATTTTGCTGAGCGCTGCAAAAAACTGCGGAGTAAACCAAAGGAAATCACCCACAAAATTGATTATAACTCAAGCCTAGGTAAAGGCACTTCGTCGGCTACTATATCGTAATCTTGACAAACGACCTTTGTAGAGAATATAATATCAGTACAGAACAATGTTTAGAGACTCCTGCACAAATGAAAATTGCCTTCTACACATCTAAGGAGGTGTTCAGAGAAGGAAAACAGAAGATGGTTACATCGGTATCTCTAAGGTCAAAACTCAAGTATTGCAAAAAGCAAGAAAAACAATTACGCACAATCTAAGGCTACTCACGTGACCAATGCAGTAGAAAACGTGCCATATTTAAACTCGTGAACTTGTTAAAACATCAATTACAACGGAAAAACGAACCCACCTAACTTTCACAAATTATAGCCAAATCAACGTCAGCTTGCCACAACCCCAGTAGTTCAAACAAACGTTCCGTTTTACAGTAGATAATTAACGCGGATCGGTACATTATAATATTGCTATTGCAGCTTTTATCACTAGATTTTGTATCGTGTACTATACTTGAAGTCTATGTAAATTTGGTAAGCACATATATAAAAGTTAAGATATTTTTAAGACATTAATTGAAAAAGGTGGGTTTTTTTAAGTAGTCAGTGGTAACTCAACCAGATAACTAGTCAAGTTTGCATCAGTAAAAATAATTTCTTCTAGTTTTGCAATTGAAATCGTAAAATAAGCATGAGGCATTTATGGTTTTAGTTTGTTATAAAGTGATGCATCTAATATATATTATTTTCTCTGATGCCAATAAAAAGCCTGTAATGAACATTAGTTTGTTCAGACTGACTTAGAAAAATCTAGATATGCAGTAAACTTGGGTCAAGTGCTTGACGACATGCTCTCATATGGCATTTCTTACTTCTATTCCACAAATAAAAGTCTCAGTGGGTCTACCTTTATTTATTTCATGCAACATCTAAATCAACCATGTAACTTGGATCTAAGAACAAGTGAAACGCCCAATACCCACTGACTTCTTAAATCACTGCCGAAATGTTCACGTCATGGTTTAAATAAAGTGTTAAAAACGAAAATTGAAAGAGTTTTATAAGAGTTACCCAAAGTTACTACAGAAATGTGGGAATCATTTTTTACCTAAACATGGCATTGTAATAATCGGAGTTTACTCCACATTCTCCGAAGGTCTAACTTGATAGACTGCAGTTATCATCTTATAGTAAATTAATGGATTTATGCAGTAAAGTAAAATGCATGTTAAACCATGTTATATTTTGTGGGCGCCACAAGCAAAGTTAAACACACAGTGTTACGGTTGTATTAACCACGCCGCTTTATTGCACGTACCCTTCCATCCCTTCCTAACTATCACAAGTTGTACCTGTGTCGTATCTTTAGTCTGTGCATGAAGAATAAGTACTACATCAGTTAATGTTTCCACCATAAACTATCTAGTATCGTAATCGCTCGTAGACAAACAAATCCCGTAAGTGTATTAGTGTACGCCATTCATTTTAGCTAAGTAATAAGTATCGAAGAAAATATTTTGGTTTAGTTTTAAGAAAGCCATCCTACTTTCTTCCAAATTTATACTGTTAAATTTTGTCTACTTCCATTAAGTGTACACTCAGTCAGGCGTTATGGTAGTACTTCGTTTACAGATTTAAACAATGTCTTATGCTTCATGCGCTTACAGACCAATTTTATTATAAAACGTGTACACGAAATAAGGAAAAGCAACTGGATGCTATCCCGTCAGCCCCCAGATATTACTTTCTATATCGGTGATATTATTATCACATCTGATGTAAAGAATCTTTAGGATGTTCGTGAGTGAATATAAGAAAACACAACACGCGTTCAGCTTTATCTTGCCTGCATTGACTTTTCTACATATTTTTGCAAAAAGCATGCATGACTACTACCGTAAAGGCGTTTTTCCTAACAGAATTAAATACGGTAGATCCACTGCTAGGTGAAATTTAGCTGCAACATTTCCCTGAACAGTTACAGGCCATCTCGTTTTTGGCCAAGTATAAGCGACCGTCATTAATAGATGACATTGCAGACATTGCATGGTACCGTCAAGCTATGTTATTTTACGCTCCGTTTTATGTATGCTGGTCAGATGATCCATCACAGGGTATTCCTATAGCATTATTTAACAAAAACTCATTCAAACCGCTTTTAATGCAAATATTTATGGTTGAATTAGCTAAGATGAATTACCTAAGATAAAAAGCTGTCTAAAAGCGGTTTCTAAACCAATAGCAGCACGGGCCACCTGTAAGCCGTACGCGTAGTCTCACTTGCAATATCATGTGGCGCTCTGATTCATGTTATCACTTACGGTTCGGCAGTGCTGCTAGCAACTGCTTCAACCTTAACACATCAAAACAGAAAAAAGCAAGTACAGCAAAATGGAGACGGACGTCGTCAGAGTCGGAGTCTAGCAAGGGCTAAAAACAACAGGCAGTTGATACCAGCCAATCATATTTGATAAAAGTTAGAAGGAAGGTAGTGGGGACTGACATAAGGCGCAAAATTTTCGCAAACTGTCTGGTCAATATCGTTTGTTGGTTCTTAAGGTTCAGGCTGTAAATAAATACCTAGTCGGAACTGAACGTAAACCCACTATGCTCAGGTGTAACGACTAAGTATTGAGAATTGACTGTTTGTGGCACCAACCGAACGGCTTATGCAAACCTCGCCAGTGAGCCTTCTATTATAGTATTAAAAAATCAAAGTAAACGGATGGACCAACTGAGCAAGACAGAAAGCTAAGCGGAGGTGGGCTTAACTGGCTTAATTACTAGGCATAATTGGCCGACATTTGTGTAAATTATTTATCGTACGTTTAAATAAACCGAAGCAGTAACTTTCTAGATTCAAGTTCGTTTGTTATAGATGTGAATGAGCAATATATATCCAGGTGTTTGGATTGCCAAACATGTCGCAATTTTAGTTGAGTTGACTTTGCCAAATAAACAATTGTACCTGAAGCAGCGGGTATCAAAACATCTTCAACATTAATCTTGGTTTAGAAGGTAGGTTTTGTTGGACTTTACTGTGGTTCATGAACATTCCGCTTTCACTAGAGTTGCTTCCGAGCGTCAGTGCAACCATCTTCATCATAATTACACAGTAATTGAAAACGTTTCGATTAACTGCGCTACAATAGTAACGACAGTATTTGGGAAGTAATGTACTAAACTGTAGAATACAAACTAAAAAACGAGTAATATAAGTTTAAGCGTCATATTATTTATGAAGTGGTATCGTTGTTGAAAGGAGAATGTAAGCAAAAATGGCAGGCAAGGAAACACAACACAAACGCTAGTGTAGTCGGCTCTTCGCCAAGTCAACAGTTTAAAACGATGATAGACGTCCACCAACCCAAACGCAGTGTCAATTTTAGTTACAAAAATTCGCAAGCTTATACAAATTCCTATATTTTCTTACACAATTACCGTAGTCACTAATCCCTTCTAATGTCACTACTCCGGTAGTATGTAACGGACACAAAACACAAACCATTTTTCTTCTAGTCTCCACTTGACCACAATGATTTTTATCGACAAATAAAATATGACCCAGCTAACATCCGGCCATGGGCCCGAATGCAGTAGTATCCATCTTTTCGAAGAACAGTAGGCTGATTAATCCACAAGGCGCTAAAATTGTCTGATCTCACCTTGACCAATCGTTTTTGAATTTATTCTGACAAATATTTATCCAACCTCATGTTCTTAGTCTCTGTTAAGAAGGTATGTCCACATTTGCTAAAACGTGCTTATTTAAAGCCTAACACCAGATTTTACTAATGGCGTTTAACGTTAAAAAGACCGCTACCATCAATAAGTTTCGTATATTATTGATTATGCCGATGCATTTTGGTTTGAATAACGCCAGACAAAATTTCAAAAACATAAAGTCAAACACGTATTACACTTTGAGTACGCTTATCCAGTCGACATAACAATAGTAAGATTCTTCAATCAGAGCGCCTGCGGTTGCCATTTTGTTAATCCATCAAAGAGCGAGATAGCTAAAAAGCAAATTTATTTGTCGATTTATTAAATTGCTAATTCTGCAAATTAGCCGGTTAGCCACGGTTAGATCCAAAATTTGCTTTATGTTGCGGAACCAGACATTCTGTAAATAGTAGCTTAATAAGAACGTAATCATTTTTAAAATTAAACGGCACCATGTTAAACCCTAAACAATAAAAACCTGTTTCCGTTAATGCAATTTTTCCTCCTAATCATAGGTAACGTTAATAACTGACAAGCAGAAAAATGATACGTTTCCCCCGGTCAGCTGATCCGTCTTGCCAAACATAATCCAAAACTTTAAAGTAGGCGTCAGAAATTACCTGATGGGTTTCACAATCAAGAAGGTATAGTGCTATCACGAAACCTGATTTAAAACGATAGGTTGCGCGACATACTAGATAAAGTTATAGACAAATAAAAGCATAAATAGCATATTTCGTAAAAGAAACATTTGACTCGGATAGCATTTACCAGCTTTGCGCTTTAGTTAATTATTCCTTAATCATGTAACGACATTTACATAAGTATTCGTTTTTGATTACTTTAACAATTATAAATGCTCATTTGCCAAATTTCTATGATTAAGTTAATTCAGTGCGCATAACCCAAGATCCGGATTTACTTGAGATAAGATTGTGAAAAATTTCTAAATTTCCTCCGCTCATCCAAGGAATCCGACTAGCATACAACATATTTATCGCTATTGGTTTTTATTATTTACCAACAAATTTGTGGTTCTCAGGTAACCTACGTGCCACATTAGTGGTGCATAATTATATACTACTTATTGTGCACACAGTTACTTCATAATAGATACATTAGTTATGAAATAATTGATTAATACTTAATAACGTATATACGTTATCATAAAAAGGTTTAAAGTTTAATGTAGGCAATGTGGCTAGCTACAAAATTAGATGAATAGTGCTACTTACCTTTCTAGACCTTGTTGGAAAGACAAGTGGAGAGGTATTCGTGAATGACATGCCCTGAGAGTAAGCAGCGTGTTAAAAAGTTGGAAAACCAACGATTAATTTATTTTTCGCGGCCATCAAGCTGTACCATCCCGCAATACCGTAGTGATTGGAATCTGAGAAAGAGAAATTGAGTATTAAATTTTAAAAGAAAATATCTGGTAAGGGAGGCACTTACTGTAAGCAGACACCCAACCTATTCCAGTATCTTTCGCTTTAGCGATTGCAGTTTTCATTGCAAAATTGCCGACCACAGGTCCCAATAAGTTTTTACCATTAATCAGAGCAGTAGAACTGGTTTCGCGTTCAATACATGGCTCGCCGTGAGCCTCGCAAACTCCTGTTTCCACCTCTTGTACATACATTTCTAAAAAATTTGTAAGTAAGTTAAAAAATAACTTTCCAAACCTAATCTATTCAGTCCATGGCTGTAGTGGCCCCGCAAATCGCCCGTTATCAAAACTTCGGACAGTTCTGTACTATGGGTTTTTGTAACGCCAACCTTCTCCAAGCAACGAACACAAAAGCGTAACGCTTCGTCCTTATCAATTACATACGTATATTCACTAGGTGTCGTACAGCTCATTGGGCGAAACGTTATTTTCAGTATCGGTCTTGTAACGCGAAATCTTCGCATTGCTTTTACAACGTGGTGTCATCCTTTAAATACAAGCGGCCTTGAGCAGTAGATGACTCAAACTATGAACAAGTGACTTCAAAGCAGGCCCAGTAAATGTGGTAACCCATGCCAATATGCTTTTATCCACAGTAAATAAACACTGACGGTTATCAACAGACGACTGCATATTACGATAGCGTCATACTTCGAACAGTGTGTGGATCAGGTCTGATTCGATAGTCGGAATAGACTCCCGCCTAAACAGCATCCAGTATCTTCTACCGCCAGGATTATCACAGGTGCCAAAACCACAAAGTTTAACTTGATATCGTTGCCGCTGCAAAAAACATAAAATGAACGAGGAAAAGTGTAGTTTGTAGCGCTGGTAAATAAATTGCTTGTTTTTCATTTTCACGTTTACCTATTTCACCGCAGTTGTTGTACAGCTGTGTTTTAATTAACGATATATACATACCCTTGGTTTCGAGCTCGTCTTCCGTGGTTCTACCTTGGTTGCTGCTGGATTGTTGTGATTGTGCGCCTCGCTGGCTGCTCTATTCACGATCGGACTCTACGTACACATACAGTTTGTCATAACTCGCGATGTATGATCGTCCGACGCTAAGACGCGTCCGGATATTTTAAATGTAAGGTAAAACTGACTGACTGTATATTCTCCTTTGCCGGTTCCTCCATAAAATTGGTGACCCTGCATTTTTATTTATTTTGTGTATAATTTTCCTGTTTGTCACAATGGCTGGTCATGCGTCCGCTATTTATGTCTCGGAACATTCCCTTGGACTCGTTTTACCGTTATTTGACGTTTCTAACCCACGTGTTTGGTTCGTTCAGGTAGCAGCTGTTTGCCGTTTTCGTAAGATCACATCCCAGTCCACAAGCTTTTCATATGTGACTGCCCGCATACCGTCCAACATCGCCTTTGAGGTCATGGACATTCTTTATCCTATGCCCTTAAATTCCCCTTAATGATAAACTTAAGGCAGCCGTATTAAAGCGCACTACAGCCTCATACGCGACTCGCCTTCTGCAGTTACTCTCTGGCGTAGAGCTTGGAGGTAGAACGCCGTCTCAGTTACTCCGACACATGCCTTCCCTCCTCGGTTCTTCCATACTGGATGATTCCATCCTCCGCCAATTGTGGAGTAATTGTCTTCCCGCAAATACCAAGGCTATTTTAGTTGTTCTCCCTGACGGGCAGAAACTGCTGATAAAGTCCATGAACCCTTCATTGAAACCTCGGTACCATACGTCACTGAGACTAGTTCAGGAAACCACTCTGGAACCACGTTTATTTGATACAATCAACGAAAGATATTCTAAAGTAGAGCTCACCTTGTCCCACCTCAAACGCGACCACCTTCCCTCGAGACGATATGTTTCTCGATCCAGACGTTCTAGCAGCTCTCGTACACGACAGTCTCAACGCTGTTGTCATTGTCACCACCGCTTCGGAGACGCAGCGCGTAAGTGCCGTCCAATGTGTAAACACCCCAAAGCGTTATCAACACCTACGTCAGGCAACCGCATGGCCAGCCAGTAATGGCGGCGGCTGTCGCTGGCCGGGTTATTAATTGCCTGTTGTACGTACTTGACTCCGCAACCAACCTTCACTTCTTGGTTGACGATGGTGCAGAAGTCAGCGTTCTCCCCCGTTCACTGGAAAAACGCCCCCTGCAACCAGCTGGTCCAATGCTTCCGGCGGCTAATCATACTAAATTCGCTAAAACCGGCGAAAAATTACTTACTTTGAGTCTCGGACTACGGCGTCACTTCCCTTTCATTTTACTTTCGCCGTCGTGCCAGTGCCCAAAATCGGAATCGACTTCCTCAGCAAGCTAGGTCTTGTGGTCGACCTGGGTGGTGGGAAATAACGAGACGATACTACTTCTTCAAACATACCCTGCAAACTTGCTTCAGTCAGTTATCTCGGGCTTCGCATCCGCATATTTGGCGTCTCACAGTGCTGCTCATTGCTCCAACCATTTCCGTCCCTAATGCGTGCAAGTAACGATGCTTCCTACCCTAAACACGAGGTACGCCATCACATCGTTACAACCGGTCCGCCAGTACCTGGTAAGGCTCGACGCTTGCGCCCTGACAAACTTAAGGAAGTTAAAATGGAATTCCAACACATGCTTGATCTCGGCATTGTTCAACAGCCACTGGACATCGCCTCTTTATCTGGTGTCTACAATGTTAGGCGATTGGCGAACAAGCGGTGAATATCGTGCTCACAACAACGACACTGTTCCGGATAGGTATCCTAGCCCCCATATCCACGATTCCTGTCTTGGACTAGCTGGAAAGTCAATGTTTACCAAATTCGACATAGTCAGAGCATACCAACAAATCCCAAAGGCGGAGGAAGACGTCGCAAAGCCACTACATTTGGCTTTTAAGCATTTCTTCATATGCCTTTCGGCCTCCGGAACACCGCACAGTCTTTCCAAATCTTTACGGATCAAGTCCTCCGTGGCCTTGCTTTCGTCTACATTTACGTTGTCGATATTCTGATCGCAAGCGTCAAACCCGACGAGCGTATATCACACATTCGAATGGTTTTCGAACGCTTTGAAAACCACTGTATAACCATCGACCCGGACAAATGCAAAGTTGCTCAGTCCGCCGTCGAATTTCTCGGTCAAAAGATCAATGGTGAAGGTAATAAACTTCACTCGGATAAATCTCAAGCGATCCCAGACTATCCGATGCCGCAATCTGTCCGAAGCTTACGCCGACTTCTTGGTATGATCAACTACTACGGCCGCTTCATTCCTAACTGTGCTGAGTTACATCATCCGCTTGCCGACTTACTGAAAGGAAATGCAAAGACGTAACGATAATCCCAGAAGTTGAAGCCGCTTTCACGACCGGCAAACAGAAGTTTAGTGAGATTACCTATCACCATTACTTGAACACCACTGAGGAAGCTGCACTTGTCATTAAGTCGGATGCTTCAAGTTCCGCTGGCGGTGCAGCTTTGCAACTGTTAGTTGATAACGGATTTCAACCGCTGTCGCTTTCAACACGGAGGTTTCAATCCGCTAAGTTTAGGTACAGCAGCATCTTTTGTGAACTGCTCGCCATGCACTTGGCTGTGAAACATTTCCGTCACCTTTTAGATGGACGTCGCTTCATAATCTTGACAGATCGTATGCCACTAATGTACGCTTTCCGTTCTGCATCGGACAGTTATTCACCACGAGAAACGCGTTATCTTGACTAACTTTCGAATTTTTGTGTTGCTGTTCGTTATATCGACGGTCCTAACAACGCTGTTGCCAATGCATTAGCCCCCGCTCACATGAATCAATTGTCATCCACGCCCTTCGACCTGGAGATAATAGCGGTCGCCCAACACAATGATCCTGATTTTGTATAACTTCTGTTAAAACCCACAATGATGTTCACACAATTACCCGTACTTAACTGACAGAAGCTTTGCTGTGACCTTTCAACCGGTAAGCCCAGACCCTTTGTCCCACGATCATTCCGTCGAACCATTTTGATCATTTTCAGGGTCTTTCACAACCAAGTATCCGCTCCACCGTAAAGCACAGTACCGACCGCTTCCTCTGGCACAATATATGTTCAGAAATTAGACTTTGGGTTAAACGTTGTCTTAGTTGCAAAACCAGTAAAGTCCATCGTCATACAATCATTAGCCCAGGTACATTTTCACCCCTGACGCACGTTTTAGACATGCTTACGTGGATACTGTTGGCCCTTTACCTCCTTCGATCGGTTTCACCTATCTTATAACATGGGTTGACCGTTTTAACCGTTGGCTACAAGCGGTTCCTTTACGTGATGCATCTACTGAATCTATTTCCCGTGCTTTTGTCGAATCGTGAATTTCTCTGTTTGGTGTTTCATCCACCATCACTACCGACAGCTCGAGTCTGTTCAGTTCTACACTGTTCCGTTATCTGAGTCGTTTAGTTGGCTGTACCCTCATAAGAACCACATCGACCACCCCGCTTCCATTGGCCTCCTCGAGAGCTTTCATCGATAATTAAAAGCTACCATCATAGCTAGTTCATCCGACTCACTTGTCTGAGCGTCTGCCTGCGATCCTCCTTGTCATATGCAATACAATCAAAGCGGACATTGGGCGCTGCCCTGCAGAAATCGTTTTATTGACTACCCTCAGACTGCCTGGTGAGATAGTACTGAACTATCGCACCACTGGCGAACTATGCCCCTTCTCCTACGCTGGACGCCTTAAACAGCATTTTCGATCAATTCAAAAAACCTCTACGCGACCTAACCTAAATACGTAACAAATCTACCCCGATTTGCAGAAGTGTCCGTTTGTTTTCATTCGCGTCGTCGCCGTCCGAAGGTATTTAACCGCCTTATAAAGGCCCGTACAAAGGCTTATCATGGAAACTCAGGTATTTCGTATTGAATAAGAATGGCTCTAAAGAATCCGTGAGCATCGACCGAATCAAACCACCTCACATTGAACCTACAGTCGAGATACGGATCCCGTTTCCTCCCCTCAGGATACACCTGCCCCTGACTCATTACCCCATATAACAACACACTGAGGCCAGCACACGAAATCCTCTGTGCCCTCCGATTACACGCAGCTCGACACACACACACGTTCTGATCATGTTGTTTTCCTTCCACCTAAGCTTGCTCAGTACGTTCCGTAGACACCTTGTCGAGCGTTTCCTTGGTGCATACTCTAGGGGAGTATGTAGAGATTTTGGATAATTAGCTTTGGTTGCCGCTGGATTGTTTTGATTGTGCGCGACGCTGCCTGCTCTATTCACGATCAGGTTCTACGTACACACACAATTTGTTACACCTCGCGATTTACGATCGTCCGACGCTTAGACGCATCAGGATAATTTATACTTGAGGTAAACCTGACTGACTGTGTATTCGCCTTTGCCGGTTGCTCCGTAAGTTCTATCTGAAGTTTCTGGGCTGCAGGTCCGTCACTTCAATTTATTTCAGAGTGTTTGGCGGATATTCCCTGGCATCTTCATCACCAAAATT